TGTGTGTGTGTGTGTGTGTGTGTGTGTGTGTGTGCGCGCGCGTGCGCGCATGCAGGCGCTGCCTGTCAGGTTAATTTGCACGGGGGCCGTGCGAGTGTGCGCACGCGAGCGCTGCGTGGGGCGCTCCCTGTGCACCGGGTGTGCGCACGGGCGCGTGTGCAAGCTGTGCCCGTGCAGGCCGGCGCCTGTGCTTTGGGGAGGGGTGCGCGTGCGGCACGCCCGTGTCCGCGGTGTCCCAGTGCGCTGTCCGGCCCGCGGCGGTGTCCGCACGTGGGGTGCGGGCCCCGGGGGTGGGGCGGGCGGGACGGAGGGCGGACACGGACACGGCCCGGGCCCTGCCCCGCACCGCACCCGGAGCCGCCGCCGCGCCGCCGCGGCTTCCCCCCTTGGCTGGGCCTGTCACCCGGGCTACTCGGGAGGCTGAGACCCGAGGATCACGGTTCGAAGCCAGCTCTGGGCAGCCAAGTTCTGTCAGTCTCTCATCTCGAATGAACCCCCACCCCGCCCCCCAAAAGCCGGAGTGGAGGTGTGGATCAGTGGTGGAGCGCCAGAGCCCAGGGTAAGAAGAGACTCCTCCAGAGGCCTGAGAGGCCGGGGACACAGGTGGCTGCCCACCCAGGAAGAACCACGTCAGAGCAGTATTAACAGTTTTATTAAGATCACTGCATGTTTTCACGGATGCGGGTGCTGCGGGTCAGAGGGCGTAGACGGGAAGAGGGTGGAGGGCGGAGGCCACACGGGAGAGCCAGTCCAGGGCGGGGCGTTGCAGGGCGGTGGGATGCCTGGAGCTCGCAAGGTCCCCGCGCAAAAGTACCGTGTACTCTGATGAGCACTGTGCACTGTATTCACGTTTCGATCACTACTTCATAAATAGGCACAATTACCGCCAATTAAAAATAAGAAAATTAGTACATGCACATATACGTATAAATGCATGTATTAAATATATAGTATTTGTGCTGGGGCTTGAACTCAGAGCCTGGATGCTGTCTTTGAGCTTTCTTGCTCAAAGCTAGTGCTTTTACCACTTGAGCCACATCTCAACTTCTGGCATTTTGGTGGTTAGTTAGAGATAAGAATCTCCCCGACTTTCCTGCCCAAAGCTGGTTTCAAACCGATCTGTCTCCTGAGTAGTCGGGATTACAGATGTGAGCCACCAGAGCCAGGCTTCTAATATTAGTTTCAATTAACAGACTATAATTATCTATTTATAGTAATGCAGACAGGACTGAGACAAGTTGATGTCCAGGGGTTTGAACTCAGGGCCTTGTGCTTGCTAGACGGATGCTGTGCCACTCGAGCCATTCCCTCAGCCCCCCTTTCCTTTTTTTTTGTCAGTCGTGGGGCTTGAACTCTAGGCCTGGGCACTGTCCCTGAGCTCTTCAGCTCAAGGCCAGCGCTCTACCAACTTGAGCCACAGTGCCACTCCTGGCTTTTTCTGTGTATGTGGTGCCGAGGAATCGGACTCAGGGCATCATGCATGCAAGGCAAGCGCTCTACCACTGAGCTGTGTTCCCAACCCCCCCTTTTCCTGTTATTTACAAGAGTCTTGCCTTATTCCCTGAACAGCTTGATCTATGATTCTCCCACTTGTCTTTCTCTTTGCTGGGGATGAGAGGCTCACATCATAGTGTCTAGTTGTTGCATTTCCCTGGTAGCTGGGATAGCAGGCATGCACCACCATGCTCAGGCATTGATGTGAGGTGGAATCTTTTATATAAACTTTTTTTTTAAATTGCCCTGGCTAGCCTAAAACGGAGCCCCATCTCTGCCTCTCAAAGAGCTGGCATTACAAGTTTGAGTCCCTGGGCTCAGGTTTCTGCTTTTCACCAACCACATGTTTTTAGTTTGTGGTCACCCTGTGCTGTTCTAACTGTCTGAATTATCTTAGCCACAGTGAATTGGGGTCTGAAATATGGACATGTGTGCTTTTCTCTAGGCTGAGGGCCAGCAAGTTTTTAATTTTTAGTTTTTTTTGCGTGCAGATCCTGGGGCTTGAACTCGGGGCGCAGGCTGTCGCTGAGCTGCTTTTTGTTCAAGATTTTGCTCTATTACTTGAGCCACAGATCCACTCCGTTGTTTGTTTTTTCTTTTTTTCTTTCTCCTGAGTATATTTTTGGTGAGTCTCAGGGAGTTTCCTGGGCTGGCTTTGAACCTCAATTCTCAGATCACAGCCTCCAGAGTAGCTAGGATTATAGCTTGAGTCACTGGCGCCCAGCGACCAACAATTTTTTTTTTTTACTTAAGACAAACAACAACAACAACAAGACTTTGGGAAGGGGTGGGGAGATTAGGGAGACAGTGCCAGGAAAGCAATCATACCTCCTACGTCTGCTCTGCATGAATTCAGGCATTGGAGGTGAAAAGAGGTTTGGGGAGCTGTGATTTCTTAGAACACAGCTGAATGGCCAAGATTCTTCTTTTCCTTGAGACAGGGTCTTGCTATGTAGCCAAGGCTGGCTTCAAACTCATGATCCTCCTGTCTCAGCCTCCTGAATGCTAGCATTACAGGTATGTACCACCATGCCCTGCTTGTATTTCTTGATATCAAGGCAGTAGTAAAATATAATTTTGAGATCATGGAAGGGGTCCATGAAGGGGAAAGTTCCTCAGATCCATGGACTGTCACAACTTTCAACCTCTCCTGTTTGTTTGAGGTGTTTAGTTAGTAAGTAGATGGGCAAGTTTTTTTTAAATGCATTTTATTTAACATCTGTGAAAAGTACATTTCCAGTAGTGATCTGAACGTTCCACTTTGGATATATATGTTGATATATATCTACCCATACGTGTGTATATATGCTTCCCCCCCCCCCCAAGATAGGTAAATGAGAATATGCGTAAAGGCCAGTGCCTTTGGCTCACGCCTATCATCCCAGCTACCCAGGAGGCTGAGATCTTAGCATCACTGTGTGAAGGCAGCCTGGGCAGGAAAGTTCATGAGACTCTTCTCTCTCAATTAACCACCCAAAAGCTAGAAGTGGAGCTGTGGCTCAGGTGGTAGGGTACCAGCCTTGAGCCAATAAAGCTCAGGGACAGCTCTGAGACCCTCAGTTCAGGTCCTAAAAAACAAAAAATAAAAATAAAAAAAAATATGGACAAATATAAAGAAGGGAAATACAAGGCACAGAGACCAAAGAACTGTCACCGCCTCTTCCCTGGGGTGCCCCTCCCGGTCTCTGCTGCTGGGGGTGCGCTGGGGATGGGCAGAGCTACATTTATGGGGCACCCACTGTTTACCTCGCCCGCTAGCGATGCCCTGGTGAGAAGCATGGCCTTTCCTGCTGTTCACTGAGACCGGCTGGGAGCTCTGCCTGCAGCGGGCGCGGGGCACAGAGCCCGGCATCCATCAGGATGCTCCTGCGACAGCCTGGCTGGCCTCACCCAGCAGCGAGGCCCTGGAGCCTCGGACGCCCGGATGGGGCGTGACCTCTGAACTCCAAGCAGGGTCTCAGCTGTCTCTCCCCCCCCCGCCCCCCCTCTTTCTTCCCTCACCAGACCCGGGCTCCTGTGTCCCCCGCAGCGAGACGATGAGCAGCCACGGCAACAGCCTGTTCCTGCGGGAGAGCGGCCCGCGCCTGGGCCGGGCGGGCTGGCTGCGGCGCACGCGCGAGGGCCTGCAGCGGCGAGCACTGCGCCTGCGCCTGCGCCTGCAGACCACCACGCGCGAGCACGTGCGGCGCTTCCTGCGCCGGAACGCCTTCATCCTGCTCACCGTCAGCGCCGTCGTCATTGGTGAGCTGGGACTTCCGGGGGAGGGGCTTCCTGCCGGCGGGATGAAGGAGAAAGAGTTCCTGTGGTTGAGGCCGGGACTTCCTCCCCGTAGAGGGCGGAACTTCCTACTGGCTCATCTCTGATTGGCACTCACGAGTCGTGTGCAAAAAAGCCTCTTAAAAATAAAATTTATTCTCTAACAGAAAAATAAGAAGTCTGTAAATGCTTAGCCCAGAAGCAAATATTTACTTAAAGTGATCATGTGTATAGAGGGGTTTCAGTTCAACAGGTCAGCTCGGTGCCATCCTGCCCCTCCTCCCGTCTTTCCAGCCCCACTCCATCCCCTCGGTTCCACGTTCACACAGTACATTGAATATCATATCTGTTTTCTCCCATCCCAGAATCAGATCACTTTTTTTTCTTGTATCCCTCCTGGGGCTTGAACTCAGGGCCTGGGTACCGCCTATGAACTTTGGTACCCAAGGATGGTGCTCTTACCACTTGAACCACAACTTCACTCCTGGCTTTTATTTTGACCGTTAACTGGTGATAAGAATCTCACAGACTTTCCTTCCCTGGGCTGGCTTTGAACTGAGATCCACAGATCTCAACTTGCCTGCGTAGCTAGGATTATAGGTGTGAGCCACAGGCGCCCAACACATTCGTACATCTCTGCAGCGTATGCATTTACCAGTGCGTGCACACACACACACACACACACACACACACACACACTTAGAGCACGTTTCTCCAACTGTCCATCCCCACACGCGCCGTTCTGAGGATGGATGGAACCTGTCTGGGCCCGAGTCGCCTGCTCTGTCCCCCATGCACATCTTCTTCTGGCTGTAGGAGTCAGCCTGGCATTTGCCCTGCGTCCATACCAGCTCACTTACCGCCAAATCAAATACTTCTCCTTTCCTGGCGAGCTTCTGATGAGGATGCTGCAGATGCTGGTCCTGCCTCTTATTGTCTCCAGTCTGGTCACAGGTGAGCGAATGTGGGCCAGTGTTGGCCTCCAAGACTTACCTACAGTCCAACCGTGGGTTCCCTCCACACCTCGGCTCCCCTCGCCCTTGGTCTGAGCCTAGGTTCCCTTCCCATTCAAGTCCTGGTGGTCCTGGCACTTATACCCCACTTGCCTCAGTAACTTTCCTGTACTTCTCCTTAGGAGCAGATACGCCAGCCTACAAGGGCTCAGTTTTATCCAGAGGGGAAAGAAAGGCTGGGAAAGGAGAGCCAGTCAAGAAAGATAGTTGTAATATGGGGTGGGGGGGGCGGGGTGAAGAGGCGGTGAATGAGGCTGAGATTCCAGGATGGGGAGCAGGGGGTGGGCTGGGAGGATGGATGGATCATGCAGGACTCTAGAAGCATTTTCTCTAGGAGGCTGGATAGCAAGCATTTTCCTCTCTGCTGACCCTCTGATCTCCGCTGCAGCTTCACCCACTGCTGTTTCTTGTAGCACAAAAGCAGCCATAGGCAACAGGAGAGCAAATGAACACTCTTGTATTCTAATAAAAGCTGTATTTATAAAAACAAGAAGCGGGCCAGGTTTGGTTCCTTAATCGTAGGTGGCGTGTTTCTGGTTTTGACAACAGAAAGAAAAGATGAAGAGTGGTTCCTTGGTTTGGGTTTCCTAGAAGCTGAGGCTGACAGGATATTTGAGGGAGGGATCCATGAGGTGGGGTGGAAGAAGGGTTTGGTGAGGGATGCGTGCTCAGAAGAATTCCAGACCCTCTGCCTCATTGCCTGGGAACAGCATTGGGAGATTGTCTACACCTGCATCAAAGGAGTTTGCCTTTTTTGGGAGCTAATCCTGGGGTTTAAACTCAGGGCCCCAGGCGCTGTCCCTGAGCTTTACTGCTCAAGGCTAGCGCTCTACCACTTGAGCCACAGTTTCACATCTGGCCTTTGGCTGCTTAGTTGGAGATAGGCATCTCATGGGCTTTCCTGTCTTTGCCATCTTCTACCTGTGATCCTCAGATCTCAGCCTCCTGAGTAGCTAGGATTTACAGGCATGAGCCATGGGGTGCCTGGGAGGAATTAGGCTTTGAACCCTTATACCAGTCGGTGTTTGGCTGTTGGCTGTTTTGGGGAGCCTTTCTGGTGAAGCAGTGCCCGTTGTGCTCAGGGCAATTATCAGGAGGAGGCGGCAGCCTGAGTTCTTAGCAGCCAGCGCTCACAGCAGCTGAGGGACAAGTACACTAGGCTGGTCCCAGGCATTTGGATACAGTGCCAAAAATACCCACCGAGTGAGTGTCTGGTGAGGCGGGCTGGAGGGAGGGCAGGTCTGAGGTGGGTAGTGAGAAGGAAAGGAGGTTATGGGGCAAGATTGAGATCAAGAGGTTGGTGTGGAGTAGAGGGCAGGTAGTGTGGCGGGCTGGAGGTGTGTTTGGGGTAAAGAATGGGGTGGGGGAGCCAGATGTGGTGGCTCATGCCTGGAATCTTATCTGTGAGGGAGACAGAGATGGAGAGGATTGAGGTTCAAGGCCAGGGGTGAGACCTTCCCCTCTGTCAGTGAAAGAAAGTCAGGCATGGTCATTCACGCTACCATCCCAGCTTTGTGGTACGGGAAGCACAGACCAGCTTGACAAAAACAGAGACTCCACCTGAAGAAAAGAATGAAAGAGAAATAAAAAAAAAAGAGGGCGAAGCCGGGTGCTGGTGGCCCACACCCGGCAGCCTCAGTACTCAGGAGGCTGAGATCTGAGGGTCACAGGTGCAAGCTGGCAAACGCAGGAGAGTCCGTGAGACTCTGATCTCCCATGAACCACCAGAAAACGGGAAGTGGCACTGTGGCTTAAGTGGTAGATCGCTCGCCTTGAGCTGAAGAGCTGAGGGACAGCGCCCAGGCCCCGAGTTCAAGCCCCACGACGGACATGTGTGTGCAGACTGCGCTGTCTGTCTTTCAGGTATGGCGTCCTTGGACAACAAGGCCACAGGGCGGATGGGGATGCGGGCAGCTGTGTACTACATGGTGACGACGGTCATCGCGGTCTTCATCGGCATCCTCATGGTCACCATCATCCACCCCGGCAAGGGCTCCAAGGAGGGGCTGCACCGAGAGGGCCGCATTGAAACCGTCCCCACGGCCGATGCCTTCATGGACTTGGTCAGGTGAGGCTCGGCCCGCCTCTGGGGCGGGACTTCCTTCTGGGCCATGCAGCCAAGGACAAAGGGACAGAGGAATACCCAGCCCGGGACCTGAGCCTCCACCTTGTCTTTCCCTGGTGGATGCATATCTTCGGAGAGAGCTGCTGAGAGACATGAGCTTTCCCACCCTTCATCCAGGCAGGGTACGGTGGCACCATCTTGAGGGCTACTGTTGGCTTGACTTTGGCAGGCTCCATTGGGTGGGCCCGTGGTTCTCATCAAGGTTTTGGTTCCCCCTGGCCACCAACTTGGCCGGGAACTTCAGAGTTGGGAGGGCTCTGACAAAGGTCCTCATTAGGCCCTGGGTTTGAGGTTTGTCTTAGTCTGTTTTCTATGGCTGTCACAGAACGCTTCAGTCTGGGTGGGTTGTGGAGACTTGAAGGTTCTTTAGCTCATGGTTCTGGAAGCTGGGGAATCGAACACAGCCACAAATGGATGAATCCATCTCTGGAGAGATGAGGGCTTGGCTGTCAGAGCTGGATTCGTCCATTTGGGGCTGTGTTCCATTCCCCAGCTTCCAAAACCATAAGCTAAAGAACCTTTGAGCTGGAGCCAGTGGCTCACGCCAGTCATCCTAGCTACTCAGGAGGCTGAGATCTGAGGATCATGGTTCAAAGCCAGCCCAGGCAGGAAAGTCCATGAGACTCTGATCTCCAGTGAACCACTAGAAAAACCGGAAGTGGCACTGTGGCTCCAGTGGTAGAGTACTAGCAGCCAAGGTCACCTCCATTAGCTGGACGGCTCTGGGTAATGAACAGAAGTTCCCTGAGCACCTGTTTCTTCCCATGTAAAAAACCGGGACACGACGCACCTGTGTGGCAGGGCTGTTGTGGTGTTCAAATCAGATGAGGTGCAGACGGGTCCTGGCCTACCATGGATGCGCGCCATCATTACCTCAGATGGAGAGTCACGCTCCAGGCTCCCTTCCAAGGTCTAAGCGCTTTTGCTTCCTGTTATTTTTCTGCAGAAATATGTTTCCGCCCAACCTCGTGGAGGCCTGCTTCAAACAGGTGAGGAGGAAGAGCTTGCTTCGTCTGGAAAGAGTTGGAGCCTGGGGGGTGTGGGGGGGGAGGTAGGTGGTGGCTGCCGGTGAGGGGTGGGGGAGAAGAGAGTGAGCAAGGGTTGTTGGAAGACATTGAGAGACAAAACGTAGTTTCCATGGGCATCAGGCTCAGGGAGAGACCTGAGTTGTCCGGGCCTGGGATCAGGGGAGGCCTGGACGTGGAGACTCGGGGAGAGAGGCCCTAAAGCGACATCCAGAGTAGTGAAGGATGCAGGCTCTACATTCATTCTTCTGTGCATCATTTATTATCTATTTGTCTGGCTCATTTCCTTTTCGTTTATTTTCTAGTGGTTAGTTAATTATGATCGTCATTTGTTTTGTTGGCACACATTGGTTGTATAGGGAGTTGCGTGGTGACATTCCCACACATGTGTGTGCCGTGTCCCAGCCTGCCCCTCCCCCCCTTCTTAAAATCAGTCAGGCTCTGGTGGCTCACGCCTATCATCCTAGCTGCTCAGGAGGCTGAGATTTGAGGATCGCCATTCAAAGCCAGCCTGGGTGGAGAAGTCTGTGACACTCTTATCTCCGATTAGCCAGCAAAAGGCCAGAAGGAGAGCTGTGGTTTAAGTGGTAGAATGCTAGCCTTGAGTGGGAAAAGCTAAGGGAGAGTATGAAGCCCTGGGTTTAAGCCCCAGTATTGGTATGCACACACACACACACACACACACACACACAC